GTGGCTTACCGTTGTGAGGTTAGTCTCTGACAGACATAGCATTTATGCACAGCCACAGCCAAACCCACCCTAGAAACGTCTAAATAGAACTTTTAAAATATGCATTTCTGATACATATTTTTGAGTCAGTGTTGTTCCAGTGCTTATTTGAAGTTTTCCCTAAGGACTGATCAAAATCATACTCCTCTGTGTACAGAAATGTCAAGTTCCTTCCCTATTTCCCCAGTTTTGGGAGCTGCATTAGATGGTCCCTCGGGAGCTCTACTTCAGGAGTGATAAGAGAAAGTGCTGGCAGCTTTTGTAGTGTGACAGCTTGGAAGCTTGGCCAAAAGTCTGCCATTCCATTGAGCAAGCTGAAAAGTTGTTTATTGTGGCAAACAAGGGTATTGGTTCACCCATTCTCAAACTGGATACTTGGGTTAAGCCAAACTATATACCTCACTAGCTTGGACAGGTAATCTCCTTCCTTGTGTGGCTATTTCTTTAAATAAATGAAAATAATAATAACAGAAATATATCAAAGTTGTGGTGAAGCTTAAATAGGTTAAAATATGAAAGTGCTTATAACTATGACTGGAATTTTTGGCCATTATTATTATGTGATATGCTGACATTTTACTGAAATGTGTAATTTTAGAGGTAGAGACGACTTTTAAATTAGTATTATATGCAATGTCTATATGAATCGGTATTTCACTCCATTTGGACTGCTGCTTTGTGTTAGAAGGCAATAGCATTTTGTTGCATTTTCTTTGTAACTATCAGAATACTCCTAACTCTAGACATGAATTAGATAAAAGTAGGAAAATTATATCAATATTTAATACATTTTAAGAAAGTGATCTGATATTAACGGCCCAAGAAAAATAGCTGAATAAGACATTTGAAGTTTATATTATTGAGAATTTCTAATTTATCAAGAATAAATACAATAAGCAGGTTTTTTTTATTAAAATCTCTGTTAGAATAGACATTTATTATAGTAATGGTAGTACAACATATAAAATACAGTAAAAATGTTTGTTTAGGGAAACCAGGGAGAGCTTCACTGAAGAAGTTGCAGGTTTAGCTAGTATTTGAGAGAAAAGTCAGCTTTCTCCAAAACAAAGAAAAAACAAAGTAATGGCACTTAGGAAGCACATGTTTGGTGACTTCTTGTTAGATTTCTTTCTTACAATCAATCAGTCATGTCTTTCGTCTCTGAGAATGCTGACCTAGACCAGCCTCACTGGCTCCTAATGCCTGCTCTCCTCCACCCCAATCCTGAGCACTGGGGCATTCTGAAGGCTTCACAGACATACAAGGGTTTTGGCTCAGAGCAGAACATTGTTACTTAGAAAAGCAGTTGCATTTCATTCTGTTAATCCCATCTATTATTTGCAACAAGAAAAATTAATCTATCTTCAACTACACCTAGAAATAGTGAGGGAGATGATCTGATGTGATATAAGATATCACACTGTAACAAATTCAATCTACAAAGATTGTAAGGTCCAATAAACATTTTAAAGAGATTCCATTATTTATTTCCTCATATTAAGGAAGCTGTTTCTGCATTCATTTTCCTTCTAAAATGTTTGCCTCACTTAACAGTCTAATGGAGGATTATTTGCTGCCAACTGGATTGTCTGTTTAAACTGTAGTGTTTACACTGGAAGTGTCCTGTTTATGAGTCTCCACAACTTTACTCAACTTTTCTTTCCTAACAGACATAAAACATGACTTGTAAGGCATCATGAAAATTTCTACCTTTTTGACTCTCTGTTGTTGTGAGATACAGAAAGGCAAAGATTGGATTTTCCCAAATGCAATTGAGTCTACTTTTTAGCTTTGGTTTGACATTGAAATGGTTGAACAAAGATAGGCATTTCCTTTATTTTATCTTTGTGTTTTCTTATAATTTTTTAAATGATGGTTTAAAGTTGTGCTGTTTGATACAGTAGCCACTAGATACACATAGCTGCTAAATCTTTGAGATACAGCTGGTCCAGGATATTAAGATATACTGGGCCAGGAGTGATGGCACACGCTTGTAATTCGAGCTCTGGACAGCCACATCAGGAGAATCCCTATTTGAGGCCAGCCAGGGCTATGTAATGAGTTCAAGGCTAGTGTGAACTACATAAGTGAGATTCTGACTCAAAAAGAAAATTAAGATATACTGTCAGATGTAAATTATACACACAGAGTGCTAAAGACTTTTTTAAAATGAAAAAAAATATTTTATTTGTTTTATAATGTGCTGATATGATAAATATATTATTAAAGCTAATTTTCCTGCTAAAAAAAGATAGATTCTTAGCAAAGTAGAGTTGTCTACATAATGAACATTTATTGGACTGTAATGCTTAGCACCTGGAAATGAAGACTCTTTACTAACGCTCTCAGAGAATTTAATATTACTCTCTTTACTGGTGGAATTGATTACGTGCAACATCTAGGGTAATTTATAGATAAAATATTTTTATAGATATATTTATAGATAAAATATGACTGGATAGTCTGCCGGTGTTTCTCAATACTTTGTTAAGTACCTTCCAAAATGTCTTAATGTGTACTTTTATATTAGCTTCATCTGTGATGGCATCTAAAACTTGAATTCCTTTGTGTACGACTCTACTAAAGGCAATGGACTGTGTAATTTTAACTTTAATATGCAACCAAATGTTTTTCTTGATACCCTTAACCTTGAAATTTATAATTTTTGAAAATTTTCTTCCTCAATATCCCTAAGCACTAAGATATAGCTAAATAAAAGTTTTAGACAAAGTGACATAACTGAAACTCTTGGAACTATTATTTGTGGTAATTTTTTTGTTTCTCTGATGACAAAGGACGTTTGTAGATTCTACACTATCTTCTTGCCTTCCTTTCATCATGAATGACGATGTGTTGCTTGACATTAAGATCCATCTTATAAAGACAAGACAAAGGCCAAGAAAATCATATACGTGTTAACTTTCTCCTTAAGACACTGAGTTGATGTAAAAAATTAAATCAGGTTTCTTAAACTACAGGAAGGGAATCTACTATTTAAATTGCTGTAAATTAATTTCCTGCTATTTACAGCTGAGCATATTCCTGATACACTGAAGCAATTATTCTCTGAGTGTCCAGAACTGGAAACATCAATTGGTATCACTGTTGACTGCTTCCTCATCATCAAGAAATAAAAACTATCACTGAGCTGTGCAACTCACCCACTTTGTGTTCCCTCCATGGCTACTTACCTATTTAGTCTCATTCTTGATATCATAGTACAATGTCTCATCATATTTCTGATGAAATTAGAGATGTCACTTTGTACCTGAAGCATTGCAAATATCCATTTCTAATATGATCAAGGCCAAATAGCATAATATGATAATGAACTAAATAAAAGCTAAATAAACGTTTTAGACAAAGTCATCCAGTCTCTTCGTAATATACTATCCTGGAATGATCTGTCTCTACTAGCATACAAATACATTTCACTTTATTCACACAGTATTTCTCTAAATGTCTATAAGTACTTTCTCTCTTTCCTTCTATTTGTTTAATTATCATTCCCTCCTTCTAATGTATTTTGCCTCCTCCATTGTGTCAGAAAACTGGTGTATTTTTTTAAAAGCCAAGAGTCTCTCCTTGTCTGCAGTCAATTGAATCACAGAAACATTAAGTGAAAATTCCAGAAATGAATAATTCATAAATTTGATAGTATGCAAGGATCTGGGGAGTATAACACAGTCTTGTAATTTATGCCACATTTTAAACATGGGACTTGAATTATCCCTTTGTCCAGTGCATCCTTACTATATATGATACCCACTATATCAGTCACTCTGAGCTAATGGTTATCAAATCAACTGTTACCGTTTTGTAATGCTATATTCAAGGAACTATTATTTTATCTGGTAATGTCTCTATAGTTGAAAAATAGAGATAATAAATATTTTATTGCTGAACATGTTATAATTGCTCTATTTATTATCATTGCTAGTTATTTCTTATTCTACCTAATTTATAAATTAAATTTTTTCAAAAGTGTTCATAAAAAGGAAGAAATTGTACACAGAAAGTTCAGTGTATCTAAAGCTTTAGGGATTCTGCTGGTCTGGGAAAAAAAAACACCCAAGGAAAAAAATGGACTTCTGTCCCAGTGACATTCTCTAAGGCCTCTTCAGTCAAAAAGGACCTGCTTTTTCTTTTTTTTTTTTTTTTTTTTTTGGTCTTTTTCATTTTTATCAGTACCAGGGATTGAACTCACGATTGTCTGCTTGCAAGGCAGGTGCTTATGCCTGGTCATGCACATCTTTTCCTAAGACTCAGGCATATAAAACAAGACTGATACTTGGCAGCAAAAATTGAAAGACTGATAACACATGATGTTTGCTAACAATAGGTGTGTGGAAGAGACAGAAAAAAGTTATCTTGAGCACACAAAGGTCATTTCCCTCAACCGTGGAGGGTCAAGCTTTGAGAAGGCAATGCCTAAAGCAAAATGAAGAGTTACTAGCCATTTAAGAAACAAGAAAATAATTTTTAACAATAGAAATAGTCTGGAAAAAAAAAAAAAAAAAAAACAACCAAGCAATGAGAACCATGCTGGGTTCAGTGAATTACAAGCAGTGCAATGTTTCCTTTCTGTCAAAGGTCAAACATTATGAAGGTGAATGTCAATTCTAAGATGGCTTCAAATTTAACTTGGTGAAAAAATCTTGAATAAAAGCAATTCTATAAAATTCTCGTTATTCCTACAATGAACACTATAATAATCATTTTTTCATCAAAAAAATAGAACACAAAATGACTAGTACATGTTAGCTGAAGAAACTATCAAACTCTCCCTTTTTTACATCTTGTCTCTGAATAATTCTCTATGGATTTCTTGTGACTATCTGTTGCAAGAAAATAACAAAAGAATTAAAAATATTAAATATTACTTTTTCAACTGTATAAGATATACATATACTATTTATCTTATCATGAAGGGAAGGGGTCTTGTTGACTAATTATTTTTTTTTATTAAGGAGAAAAAGAAAAAAAGCAGAAATAGGGTACAAGTTATACAGAATTTCAGAAAAAATAAACAATAGGAAATCACTAGTTAATAGATTACATATTGTTATCTTAGAAATAGTTGTTCAAGTTACAAAATTAAAGCATATAAAGTGGACTTTCAAACAGTGAGACTGGAAACAGTTCTCTTCAATGATCCAGCAAAACTCAGCAATATGGTTATCTATCTTATACACTTAAATATATATGCAGTTATATTCTTTAGAGCACTTTCTTTTCCTTTCTTTTGTACAATGACAATTACAAATTTTGGGTTTTATTACTCCCACAGTTCTTATTACTTTTTTTAGAAGAGAGTAAAACCAAATATGACATAACAGAACAGAGTCAGTCAAATCAAAAGGATGAACATAATAGATAACGTAAAAACAAAATACTAGATGATCAACAATGGTTACCATACTACCTCTTGCTATCTTAAAAAGAATTGCCTATATCACCAGTTGGTAATAAAATTGAACAAAACAGTAAAGAATAAAACCAAAACATTGGGGACATTACAGGGCTTTAAAAGAAGATAATAGTCAACCGGAATGGGCATCATAATGAATCTTACTGTCTTTACAGTTGTTGCCTATACTTTTGAACTTGGTACTATCAAGCAAAGCAGAATAGAGGAAAATCAGTCAAAGCAAGATGATGAGGGCTATACAGGGTTTCAAATCAAGTTAATAGTAAACCAAAGTGGGTTACCATAATAATATATCTTGCTTTTTTAATTTTTCCATTAATTAAAAAGAAAAAAAATAAAAAAGTAAATAATTTAAAAAAGGAGACTGAGATAAAAGAGGGCATAACAACAAAACAGCGCAGGTCAAAGTATAACCACTTAAGCAAAATAGTGTTTCCCCACAAGACATCCCAACATAAAAGTAATCACCATAATATCTCTTTCCTTAAAGTCTGAGTATAACTTCGTATACTGTAGCACCAAACATCAAGACAATGTAAAACCATTCAAGAGAATGACAGTATTACAGGGTATTTAGAACCAACTATCAGAAAATGAACAATGGTTTCTGTATAATCTCCTTGTCTATAAAAGTTTTTGCTTATATTATCACATATAATAAAATCCAATAAGATACATCTGTTAAGACTGATGGAGACAGAGGAATAAAAGCTTGATGGGACTTCAAAGCAAGATGATACTAAATCAGCACTAGCTATTATGATGTCTTTTTTCTCTGCCTCATTTCTGGTGAGCTCTTTTTCTGTCGTTTGTTGTCAGTTTGCCTTCTTCATTTCGCTTTCTGCTCCATTCATTGTGGTCTCTCTGCCACTGTTTCTAAAATCTTGGTATTTTCCTTTTTTTTAGAAAATCCTGCAGTATTCTCTGTAGAGTTGAATTGGTGGTTGCAAATTCCCCTAGTTCCTCTTTATTCTGGAAGCACCTTGTTTTTCCATCAATTTCTAGGGACAGTTGTGCAGGATATATCAATCTTGGCTGGAGGTTGTTATCTTTCAAAGCTTGAATTATTTCCCCCCACACTCTTCATGATTTGATGGTTTATGCCGAGAAGTCTGCTGTAATTCCGATGGGTGTTCCCTTTTAAGTGATCTGTTTCTTGTCTCTGATGGCTTTTAGTATTCTGTTCTTTTATTGGATTTCTGGAATTTTGATTATTATATGCCTGGGTGTAGTTCTGTTTGGGTTGTAGGTGGCTGGGGTCCTGTATGCCTCATACATCTGAGTATCTTTACCTTTTGCTAAATTAGGGAAATTCTATTGGATTATTTCTGTGAATAGCTTTTGTAGTCCATTTGTTTGTGTCCCTACTTCTTCTTTTATGTTCTTAATTCTTAGGTTGTAGATCATCTTATCATCTTTTAGTCTTTGTATTATTGCTGTTTGTTTTCTTGTTATTTTTAAGAAGTTTTTCATTTCATGCTCCCATATTACCAGTCTGCCCTCCAATTCAGATAATCTATCCTTAGTTTCTTTCAAGCTGTTATGCCAGCTTTCAATAGAGTTTTTAGTTTCCTGGTAATCTCTTTGAATCTGCTTCATGTATTCTATGTTTTCTCTATTTTCTCCATCAAACAATTCTTCCCTTTTTTTCTGTTCTTCCATTCCACCATCTGTTTTTTCTTGGGTGGTGCTTAGCATTTCTCTAACTATTCTACTTATCTCTTGCTTTATTTTGTTAAATACTTCATTTTTAAACTTGTCTATGAGGCTCTGGAGATATTGCTTTAAGTCTATTGGTGCCGTGTCTGATATTGCATGTTTTCTGTCTTCCTTTGCATTTCCCTTTCCTGGATCGGTGTTCTCAGGATTGGGGACTGAGGACTCTTTCTTGTTCCTTCCTCTACCCATACTTTTTGTTTCTTCCATACAAGCAAATGTAGGAGGCCCAATTTTTTTCTCTTTTTTTGGTTATAGTTTGTTTGAATTGCGCCGGATAGGTGTTCCCATCCACTGCAGTGTAATAGGGAGATACAGACCTGGGCAGCCTCTGCTGGGCCCGCTCCTCCAGGTCAACTTACCAAAGGCTTCACTGCTAGGGTGCACCTCCAGGTGCTGGGACCTGTGTTGGACTCACCTACTGGGTCTAAGTCAGTGGCATCACCCAGGCCAGGCTCTCCCCACCAATCCCGCTTATTGGTGAAATCACATAAAACAATAAAAGCCTGTTTCTAGGATTGTTAGTCCAACACACCAGCCTTCCTCCACAAATGACTCCCTGGTGAGGTGATGATGATTCACAGATCTTTGTCATTCCATGTGTAGTTTCATCTTGTGCAGCACATGGTCTCCAGGTTCTCTTTGTGGTTCATGTTGCAGCTAAAGAGAAAGCAAGAGCTTACTGAATCATATGTGAATGAACACCTCCATATCCTAAATAATTTCTGTTCACATTATTTTGGCCAGCTCACCCTAGATGTGAGGAGGCTTGGGAATGTATTTAGATTGTGAGTCCAAGAAAAATAGAAAATTAATTTGGTAGTCAGTAAACTGATTGGACAATTAATAGTAAATTAATATAAACAACTGGGCATGTGATGACTTTGTTCTAAAAATGTATTGAATTAAGATAATAAAATTACATGTAATAATTATATAACAATTATTTAAAGGCATTTAATTTTATTCATGTAATGATTTACCCACTTATTAATATCAACAAACATCCAGTGAGCACTTAACATAAGCTCAGTATAGTATTCGGGTTGCTAAGAGATATACATCACAGATACTGTTATAGGATAAATCATCTGTCTCCATCTGGTGGTTTGTGCTAAATAGGTGCCCAATAAACATTTTTGAGTTAAATATTTAATAGTTGGTCAGTCTAACACTGCAGAATGATACACTATAGGGATGGAATAATTACCATAGAGGACTGAGACCAGAAATATTTTATTGTGCCTTGGTCCATGTGGACTCCAAAAGGCTGTTTGGGGTATATTCTGCCCATTTCCTGGAAAGAAAAAAAAACCTCATGTATTGATTTGATTCCACTGTTCACTAATTCCTTAGCTAAATACTAAAGCACTAAGAACTGTGCCAAATACCAAAGGAACAGTCAATTACATGCTATTTAATGAGGGTGATGACAATAAAGTTACAAGTCTGGAAAATGAATAGCAATGCTATGATCCCGTTTTAACAACATGGATGGTGTTTCAAATTTGCTATTTGAGAAATTTGGTTCCCTTCTCTTCTCCCCTTCTCCTTTTTCTCCTGGCCTTCCTTCTTTTTCTCTTCCTTTCACTCTTTCTCCTCTCTCTCTTTTTCTCTCTCTGTCTGTCTCTCTGTCTTTGTCTCTCTCTCTCTCTCTCTGTCTCTCTCTCTCTCTGTGTGTCTGTCTCTCTCTCTCCCTTCTTTTTTTTTCTCTTTTCTTTTCTATTTTTTCTAAAGAGTTGGCTTCTTGCTAGATCCTCCCAGTCACAGGATGGCAGATTCTCAGGGGGCACCGACTTTTCTCTTCCTGGAAGCTGCACCACTTTTCTATTTTTGCTAAGAGAATCTGAAGGGTTTTACCATCTAGTATGGCAGTTTTAAGTTTTTCATTGATAGTAGATTACTCGTGAAGTTCTCATAAGTCTTAATGAGGTAAATATAAAGAGGAATATTTATGAATTTATTTCAAAGGAGATTATATTGACCATTTTGCCAGATTACAAAATTAGAAGATAGAAAATATTGTGAGGTTAATGAAACAGCAAGAAACATTTCTTAGAAATTTGACATAATAAATTTATGCTTTGACATTCCTTTATTTTGTGTGCTACAAACACAGAGTAATAACAAATAAAATTTAAATGAGCTTTTTTATGAACTTCAAGGCAGGATACTAGGAAAACAATAGCTACCATAGTATATCTTGTAATGTTTGCGGTAGTCATCTATTTTTGAGGTATATCAAATCAAACCAAAAACAAAACAGAGTAAAGCCAATCAAAGCAGAATATTGAATAAAGCAAAAGAATCAGAACAAAGCAAAACAGTGAGAACAATATTGGGTTTCAAGGACAAAATAGAAGAAAATCCCCATATTTGCTATATTGCATACTGTCATCGTCCTAAGAGAAACTCACATCACTGGGCCCTGGTTTGCAAAGTCAACCAAAAATTACAAGTGTTTAGTTGTTTTATATACCTTGCTATCAATTAAGCCCTACCTCCAAACCAGCAGATTGCTCGGTTGGGGGGGGGTTAATTTTCAGGCTCATGGGAGGTGCCACTTGCACAGCTTACCAGAAGGGCTGGCTTCTTGCTGGATCTTCCCAGTCACAGCATGGCAGATTCTGAGGAGGCACTGACTTTTCTCTTCCTGGAAGCTGCATTGCTTGCACAGCTCACCAGGAAGGCTAACTTGTTGGTTTCTTGTTGGGTCCTCCCAGTCCCAACATCTAAATGAGATTTTCAACAGGATGTATTTGATCTCAAAATCAAGTAAATCTTCTGTCTTGATTACTTTTCTTGCTGCTGAAACAAAATACCCAAGTCTCAAAATTAAGGGAGGGAAGGTTTATTTAGCTCAGTTTGTGGAGGTGTCAGTCCATAACCAGCTGGCTCCAAGGTAAGGTGGCTTGGCAGAGAGACAACAGTTCATGGTGGCAGAAGACAGCAAAAG